AGACCAGAGTTGGAACCAATTAATCTTATCTATTTCAGTTCAACTTATTAACCGAACTATAGGAGCCCCTAAAGGGACCTTTTCAAACATAAAAAATAAACAGACTTTCACATACTCATGAGAAACTATCGTGGGCTCGCATGCTGATTTTTTTATTTAGTAGAAACCATGGAAACAGCAAAGACGCTTTAATAGGCTATATTATGTATTTTATTAGACAGATGAGCAACTGTTTGGATACAGTACATCCATCATCAGAAAACTAATCATTGTTGGTCTTTTGTTTAAATCTTGTTTTCTTGATTTACCGCGAGTACCATTTTTACCACCTAATATCAATCTAGCTCTCTACAGTGTGCAACAAGTGTCTCATAGTCGGCGCCGAGCGAACACACAGAGTAGCATTATAACAACTTTCAACACACTCAAATGTATCTAATATGACAAAACAGCGCTGTGTTACCCCACATACGCATGACCTGAAGAAGCGGAAGCGGTCTGCGGCATAATAAAAGCTCAACTTCCATGATTCCGCGAAATCAATGCGTCATCAAGCTACCTTTGTTTTGAACAAGCGACCCCTAGCTTCGAAAAATTACATAGCGTGCCTTTAAGTTCTTGTTGTAATGATCAAGATTATTATGTCAACATAACGCTACAAAATAATGTTTGCAACTTAAAATGTTTAATTAAAACAATAAATTCGATAAACCATGCATTTATTTAAGTTGTGGTAACAGGTCCCCTGAATTACTTTTTAAAGTTATACTTTTAATAAATCAATACTACCACTTTCTGTTCATAAAAAAAGTTTGAAAACAAGCGGCTTTGTTTTAATTACAGCAGAAATAACAATATTTTAGCCTATAATAGTGGAGAATCTTTGAGTCAAAAAGACTGAGAACCACTGAAATAGGGGAAAAACATGTTGAAGACATGTTCTTAAAAGTCCCCACATAACTGTGGGAACTTTTAAGTATCTAGGCACGGTTCTTGACAACCATCTGAGTTTTACAGATAACACAGACTATATTTTTAAGAAATGCTCACTCCTCAGAAGACTGAACTGCCTGGGCATCAGTGCTCAGATTATTGAGCTAGTGTACAACACACATTGAAAGCGTTTTAACCTTTCATCTCTCTGCTTGGTTTGGCCATTTAAACTGCAAACTTAATAACAAGCTTAACAGGATAGTGTTAATGGCTAGTAAAATAGTAGGAAAACCCCCAAAACACCTGACCCAAACACTGACAGAATTTCTGGATATGGAGGTCAATGGCTACCGTCAACTGTCTGGTTACCAATATCTTCCTTTGTGTTCAGCAAAAGAAAGAAATTCATACAGGTCTGAAACGAGACCTCGAGTGTGAGTAAATTATGTCAGAATTTTCATTTTTGGGTGAACTATCCCTTTAAAGTTTTGTCAGTCAAAAATGCAATGGAGCCCGTCCTTTCAAATTCTAGCCTTGTGTTTGACTTCATCTAGTCGAGTCTAAGTCAAGGCTGAGTCAAGTGTGTAACAGAATGTGTAACAAGATCAAATACGTTTTAACAGGGTGGGTTTAGAAATTAGACATTAGAAATTATTTGATACAGGAATTAAATTTCTATCATACATGACCTGCACTATATGTCTCTGTGTACAAATATAAATGATTTACAACAATTAGTAAATCAAATCAATTCAATCAATCAAATCAATCAAAATCAATTGGAAAAATCCACATTTCACATCTGGGTTGTAATTTAATTTGCACCTGTTAAACTTTCTGTAAAATTAGTCAATGAAATATAAATCAAATGCAAACAAAGCTTTTTGTTCACCGTTATAATGGAAATGGCAATCATAAGTTCAGTGATGAATTAGTTCCTTCCAGGCAATCTGGTAAGGCTGTAATAGAGCTCCATAAGGTCATTAAGGCCATATCAAGCTGTTCCCGCTATTGCTCGCAGGCCTATTGTTGTGCTTGACAACAAGTGACTTGTAACAATAACAGATTGCCTTAAATAACCTTAAATCAGAGACCAGTTTCTATAACTGCTTTAGGTTTCGTTTTTTCATCCTGGTAACTTGCTATATGCGTGGTATTGGAGTTCTCTTAAGTTTTCTTAAGTTGCTTAATGACTGACAAACCAACATGTGGGTTTTAAACTCTTGATTTCTCTTGAGCTAACACCAGCAAATTCCCCCCAGCAGTGACCACAATTTTTTTTTATATTTTTGGATTTCTGTTGCATAATGATTGAATTTTGCCGTTATGGACAAACTCAACATCTACATCCGGTGTTTTATTAGATCAGAAAAAGTCCCTGACATCAGATAGGAAATCAGCTTAATCTATTTTCAACACTGGTCTGCTTTTCTTAAATTGACAGATAGCCTACTATATGTGATGGTTTGACATTCAGAAGTTTTAACACAGACTGCATATGGAGTTATTAAACCTTAAATTAAAATTAGCTATTTGAATATATATACATATATATATATATATATATATATATATATATATATATATATATATATATATATATATATATATATATATGTATATATATTCAAATTCATTTGTATAAAATATTTAAAAAAAATATATAAAAAACATTTAATAGGCCTAGTTTATATATATATATATATATATATATATATATATATTACATTTTCGAAAAGCAATCATATGAAATCACATTTACAACTCGTAAAACATTTTATCCATCAACTGATTTAAATCCATCATAGTTTAACCGCCAAATAAAACAAACATTACGATTATGTATCGTGAAGCATTGTCTAAAATAATCTCACTATTTCATAATGTTATTTATTTTAGACGGCTCCCTTGTAAAATAGTTTGTATCACAACAAACTTTTGCTCATAGCCCGTGGGCTATATTGTGCGGCGAGCTTCTCGGTTTATGCAAATCCACTTTATGACGCATGACGCTCAATGGGCCACACCACACCACACGCTTAGCGTGTTAATGCAAGCAACGTGAATGATGTTTGGTGAGTGATGAGTCTTGTATGCGTTAGACAAGTGTTTACAAGCAGCTAAGTGAAGCACTCTAGTTTATCGTCTAAAAATATTGGTGCTTTGAGTTTAATGACTCAGATAGTTAATATCTCTTTGAATGTTTGCCTATGGTTTGGGGGATTTTTTTGTTTTGACATTGGGGAAGTTTACTCTGAAGTAAAAATACAGTTTCTAATATGAGCCAGAACCACACTTACCGGTACATTACATTCAATGACCTAAAAACCTTAATTTGTATATTAAAAACGATCCACAGAAACGTATGCAACAACTCGAGTCCGTTCACACACAACGCGTTTTTTGCGTTTAAAAACAGGAGAATAAGAAGTAGAATGAAAAAAAAAAGGAAGTTTATTTAAGTTTAACTTGAGAGCTCGTTTATACGCGAAAGCAAAAGTCCAACACGTGCGTGTAGCTAGTGTTTGTTTACATAGAGACAGTGGGAAAGCAGCGCAGTGGAATGGATAAAGGGATAGCCTAGTTCTGTCATACTCATCCTCAGGTTGTTCCAAACCAAATGTATTTGTTCTGTTGTACACAAAAGGAAGATATTTATAAGAATGTGGGAGACTGAACAGTTCTCGGGCACAATTGACTTCCATAGTATTGTTGTTCCTACTATGGGAGTCAATGGTGCCCCAAAGCGGCCTGGTTACAAACTTTCTTCAAAATATCCTCTTTTGTGTTCAGCAGAACAAAGACATTTATATAGGTTAATAAATTAAATATACAGGTTTGGAACAACTTGAGGGTGAGTAAATGTTGATGGAATTTTTGGGTGAACTATCTCTGTAATATTTGTAAGGATTCTATCTACAGTATCGGCGATATCTCTGTCACAGCTGCACTTTAAAAACTGCCAATGTCAGCCAAAGTTTAAACATTTACCTGAACTAGTCAAGTTATTGCGAATTTTAAACGTTCATTGGTCACTGACTCACTGGGAGAGAAAAAATTCACCATATGCGGTTCTTTGCATTTAGGGAAATTAGTCTGGTGGAAGAGAAATATATTTGTCATGGTTTAATGTCATTGCTTCACTCCTCTACTTTAGCTCTATTGGGGAATTGTTTCTCTCATAAAAGGATTATTTTGATTTTTAAAACTTGCTGTAGCCTATATCTGTGCATGATCTGTATTTCAATCTGAGGTTTTTCTATTATTTTTGAACTCAGCATTGTTTATTATCCTGTGGCCAGTTGCTTCTAAGACTTGTCTTACAAGTTAGTCATCTATTTTTTTTTTCTTCAAGACTGGTACGTTTTTTTTAAGGCCGTTACACAAAAAGGTAGATTGGTCTCATTAGAATCTGAAAAAGTAGGAGCCCTAATTAATTGCTAGTTGGTCAGACTAGTTCTTAACACGGTCTTAACTTAGTGGCTATGCTTATGCAACTGGTCCCTGTGGTTGTCTGTTCCCAGGCAACATACTAGTGTTGTTTATTGCTAGATGGCAGGTGCCATACCTCTAACAGTAAATGTAAACTTTAAATGTTATCAGGAAGAAAAACAAACAGTAGGCAATCCCCGTAATAATCCCTAAACACGATAGTTCTCTTGAAATTCTCTGACACCGGGTAGAACATTTTCCTAAACCTCAATATAATTTATTAACATGCAAAGGATGCTGTGTGTTTACTTCCCTGAAAAAGACACATGCGTGTGTTTGTCTATGCAGATATGATTATCTGGAATGATAGACATTTTATTACACATGCTGCTACTTCTTTCAGGTTAGACAAGCTGTGTTATTGGATGTACAGTAGAGCCAGATTGAAACCTCAAGCATAAAAGCGTAAAAAAAATTCTTTGACTGATCTGATTGAAATTCTTCCATGGACATATAAGGAACCTGTTCAACTGTATTATGTAATATTTTCTTGGTATTGTATTTACAGATCAGAGATAGGAGGCAATGTTTTGCAGCTTTCTTTATATGACTTTAGTTCTTATGTTTCCTTATAGTAACAGTCAAGATGCAGCACACCTCGTGCACAGAGGACCGGATCCAGCACGCTCTGGAGAGATGCCTGGATGGACTCCGGCCATCAGAAAGCCTGGCACAATCCTGGAACGGTAGAGCCACCTCACTTACCCTCCTCTGCTGCTGCTGATGATGGGTCACTGTTGGTTGACATCACTGTTTTTCATTTCTTTTTTTTTACTTCTGTTTTGTGGAATTTACATGTGTGTTCTTCCTTTCTCATTTTTTCTCATTGGGTTTCAATTGAGCTTATTTCACTGATAGGGATATAGGCATGATGTGGCATTTGGGTTGGCCTGCTGGCTAATTGTAAATTGGCTTCTCAGTGTTAATTCATGCAAATAATGCAGTGACACAACAATCTTCTTTTTTTTGTCTTCACCTAATAATTTTTGGGGGGAACATAGAGTACAAAAAACAGTTAGATATACTCATACGATTATCCTGATATTATAATGAAAGAAAAAAAGCCTCATTAAAATAATGGAATTCTTGAAAAGAAAAAACGTATTAAGCAGTTGGGCAAAATCATATATACAATGACCACGTCATTGCTTATTCATATTTTTTCCATCAAATCGGTGGTGCAAAAAAAGTAATGTGATGCAGCCAACATTCAGAAACAAAACTAAACAGGAAATAATATTATAGAGAGAGGACCCCTGCAGATCATCATGACTTTGTGTCAAGAAGTCTTTTAAAATATCATATAAATAACATACACTCACCTAATGCCGAGTTCAGACTGCACGATTTTCAAAATAATCGGGTCACTGTTGTTTTCACACTGCATGACTATCTGTGGTAACATTCAGTTGCTGCTGTGTTCACACTGCACGATGGATCGGCGACAGGAGGTTTCACACTGCATGACTTTACAAAAGAAAGAATCACCGACAACTTCTGCCTGGTCCGCAAACTACGTTTCACAACCAAACAAACGCGAGAAGTGATAGGAAATAACGGAAGATCACGCGTGCGTGAGACCGGAGTTCTCGCGCGACACTGAATTTGTTATTAAAAAAGATAGCCTACAAATTGTCTGTGCACTGATTTGTAGCGAAAATGAAAAAAAAAAACAGTTTATGCAAGAAATGGTTGGGAAGACGAGGGGAGCAAGGACTGTGTTTTGCAAAGAGAGTTGGGGGTAAATAAATAATTTTGCAAATGTCCTGCTGTTGCTTCTGGTCACGCAAATGTTTGTGCTTTGTTTCTGTTTGATATAATTGTAAATACAGGCCTATCTATTACAATACTGATATTCTGGTCTATAACTCCTCCTCCTCCTCCTCCTCCTCCCTGTATCTTGCTCTCTCGTTGGCTGTCGGTCATCGCCGATGTAGTTTTCAGTCAGAACACATTCACACAGCAGGATTGTGAATCGCCGACAGGTCCAGATATTTATCATGCCAAATATCTCACGGGCGTCGGCGACTCGTCGGCGATTCTCTCAGATCGCGTCTTTGCTCATTCACACTGCGTGATTGTCACTCGCGTGAACGAGCACCGATTTGCCTGTGATTTCGGGCATTTGTCGGCGATTTCTCAAAACCTGTCGGCGAGCCAAAATCGGGGCTAAAATCGTGCAGTCTGAACTAGGCATAAAGGATTATTAGGAGCACCATACTAATACTGTGTTTGACCCCCTTTCGCCTTCAGAACTGCCTTAATTCTACGTGGCATTGATTCAACAAGGTGCTGAAAGCATTCTTTAGAAATGTTGGCCCATATTGATAGGATAGCATCTTGCCATTGATGGAGATTTGTGGGATGCACATCCAGGGCACGAAGCTCCCGTTCCACTCCACCACATCCCAAAGATGGTCTATTGGGTTGAGATCTGGTGACTGTGGGGGCCATTTTAGTACAGTGAACTCATTGTCATGTTCAAGAAACCAATTTGAAATGATTCGAGCTTTGTGACATGGTGCATTATCCTACTGGAAGTAGCCATCAGAGGATGGGTACATGGTGGCCATAAAGGGATGGACATGGTCAGAAACAATGCTCAGGTAGGCCGTGGCATTTAAACGATGCCCAATTGGCACTAAGGGGCCTAAAGTGTGCCAAGAAAACATCCCCCACACCATTACACCACCACCACCAGCCTGCACAGTGGTAACAAGGCATGATGGATCCATGATCTCATTCTGTTTACGCCAAATTCTGACTCTACCATCTGAATGACTCAACAGATATCGAGACTCATCAGACCAGACAACATTTTTCCAGTCTTCAACTGTCCAATTTTGGTGAGCTCTTGCAAATTGTAGCCTCTTTTTCCTATTTGTAGTGGAGATGAGCGGTACCCAGTGGGGTCTTCTGCTGTTGTAGCCCATCCGCCTCAAGGTTGTGAGTGTTGTGGCTTCACAAATGCTTTGCCGCATACCTCGGTTGTAACGAGTGGTTATTTCAGTCAAAGTTGCTCTTCTATCAGCTTGAATCAGTCGGCCCATTCTCCTCTGACCTCTAGCATCAACAAGGCATTTTCACCCACAGGACTGCCGCATGCTGGATGTTTTTCCCTTTTCACACCATTCTTTGTAAACCCTAGAAATGGTTGTGTGTGAAAATCCCAGTAACTGAGCAGATTGTGAAATACTCAGACGTCTGGCACCAACAACCATGCCACGCTCAAAATTGCTTAAATCACCTTTCTTTCCCATTCTGACATTCAGTTTGGAGTTCAGGAGATTGTCTTGACCAGGACCACACCCCTAAATGCATTGAAGCAACTGCCATGTGATTGGTTGATTAGATAATTGCATTAATGAGAAATTGAACGGGTGTTTCTAATAATCCTTTAGGTGAGTGTATATGATAACATATTTTCCTTGCTTTATCATGAAAGGGTCCACTTTTATAGCCTGACTACGTCAGACTTCCTACTTCCGCTAATTTCATTTCGCTCCTGTAGTCAGTCTGAGATAGCAGCCTATCTTTCTGTTTTCCACCGGCCTGAAAACAGCCTGGCCAATCAACGAACAGAGGGCGGGCTGAAAGCCGTGACGTAGTCGGTAAGCGCCGTGTTTAAGATTAGGTCAGGGAAATCGAAAACGACCGCTGATATGGAGACGCGGATGCAATTCGCTCTGTTGTGGAGAATATTCCCGGCATTAGCAAACTGAAGCCCGAACACGAAGAGTGTGTATTAAACATTTTGAATGGAGGTGATGTTGTGGCCCTACTCCCTTTGGGAAAAGTTTAATTTATCAACTATTACCGATCGTCAGCGAGAAACTGGGGAGCCTTTTGACAGGTCAGTGTCTCTTTTCTTTTCCAGGTCTTAAATACCGTAAAACTTCAAATAATAGCCCGGGCTTTTATTTGCCCAAATCGTCGAACTGGGCCGGCTTGTACTTGAGATAGGCGTCTAACTTATATGAGACAGGCCTTTATAGTTGAGATGTTGTTCATTGAGATGTTGTTCCTAGAGTCTATAATCTCTAAAAATCTCCAAATGCTCCACGTGAAACCGCGGTCTTCCGACCTCTTACTATCTTGTCGATTGATTTTTATGAATATGCGCGAGGGAGAGAGAGCAAGACAGCGCTCGTGTTGTTTGTAGACGTGGGAGTGCGCGCGCGCGGCCGGGGCTCTCTCTCTCTCTCTCTCTCTCTCTGCTCGTTTGTGCCCTGTCAAGCGCAGCAGTCATTCTATTACATCACTCACAGATCAAAAAAGTCGTTTACAGCCAGGGACGGACTGGGACTAAAAAACGGCCCTGGACTTTGACTAGGCCCGGCCCAAAGCAATCGGTGCGCGGAAACTCGACAACAACAACAATAACGCCTGCCATGAGTGTCACTTTAACTGTGGCTCATCATACTATACCATCCAAATTATAGCTAACAGCGTATTATACAATCTATTCCATGCTGTCTTAAAATTAATTTATTACTTAATAATCTTAATTAGTTTATGCAGTAATTAATCTTAGCTTCTGCACAAATAATAATACCACATCTAAATTAAAATACACCATTACAAATGTAACTTCTGTATTCAAAATCTTCGAAGTTTGTAAGCATTAACTGTAACATTACCAACATTTTTAAAAGTAAAAGCACAACATATTTCTTAATATTAGCAACTGCATGTGGCATTTTACAGCTAAAATGTTGAAGTTTAGCTGTTTTAACTACTGTAATCATTAAAAATGTAGCAAGCTGAATATCACTTCCTAACATCATCCCTAGCAAGTAACTTGCAAAGTAATTTCTGATTAATTCGGTTCCGGGAGTAGTAGAGATAAAAGCCCGCCCGCACTGACAATTGATTGGTTGGGTCCTTACATGCGCTTCGTGAGGCACACGCCCACACACGCGCACACTAGCACACACACGCAATCTCTCGCTCCCTCTCTCTCTGCCGTGCACGCGCTACGCATGCGCGCTCTTGCTCGCTCTAGATTCCGGGAGATTTTAACTAATTTGCGGACATCAGGGAGCCACTATCAATATGCGGGAGACTTGGGATGTGTGTGGCGGCTGGTGGGCCGGCCCGCCGGCCGTCCTGGAGTACCGGCCGTTCTGTGATTCTCCAGATCACACAGATGGCCAGTCCGCCCCTGTTTACAGCCATGTTCACTCGGGTATTTCGCTCGCATCATCAAGTGTTTACAGTGGAAGTTCGATCATAGATTTGAGTTCGATGCATGATGTCTGTGGTTCGATGCGGCTGTGTCGGCGCATAACATACGTCATAAACAAACTTATCTGATTGGCTTACGGGTAACCAATGATTTTAAACTTCAGTACGCGCCCCCTAGCGAGAGAGAAAACACTTCTCTATTATGCTATCCCAGACTCTGTGTACGAAGCAAAGTGAAGTAGCAGAGTCTGGTATTACCAGGCTACCACTTTTATGATAAAGCAAGGAAAATATGTTACTTCCCGCACCTGCACCTGATTGTAGCATTTAATTGTGTGAACAAAACAAAACGCTACTTTTCCACTATAAAAGCAGTTTTTAACTAAATGGCCTCAAAGATGGCATAATACACAGCTGTGATATACTAACATTGGGAGAGTTGAATTAGGACTGATTTGTTTTTATTTCTCTGTTTTGCAAAGGGCATGAATAGAATCTTTATTAGTTGTGTATTTGCCTTGGAAGGTGTTTTTATATACCAGGAAACTGGTTTTTGTATTAGGACAAAAAAAGATAACACCCATCACATTTACTGATAAATGTTGTGATAATTTTGTTTGTGTCAAATGTTCTGCGTAGTGTGACACTGTTGATTGATTCAGAAAAAATATGTTATTCTCAGAGTCTGTTCTAAAGGAAATGTATTATTTTACACCTTCAGCAGTTTTTAACTAAATGGCCTCAAAGATGGCTTGACACATAGCTGTGATATACTAACATATTGGGAGAGTTGAATTAGGCCTGATTTGTTTTTATTTCTCTGTTTTGCAAAGGGCATGAATAGAATCTTTGTTAGTTTTGTATTTGCCTTGGTTGGTGTTTTTATAAACCAGGAAACTCGTTTTTGTATTAAGACAAAAAAGATCACACCCGTCACATTTACTGATAAACGTTGTTATCATGTTGTTTGTGTCAAATGTTCTGTATAGTGTGACACTGTTGATGGATTCAGAAAAAAATAGATGTTATTCTCAGTCTTGTAAAGGAAATGTATTATTTGACACCTTCATTTGGGCAGGAAGCTGAGATGCATTTTGTCCTTCGAATAAAGTACAATTGGTATCAGTCACTGCAGATCTTTAGGAAAGCTTTGAGTATTTAGCTCTGCATCGTTCATGTTCTAAATATATGAGGTTCTGAGGTTACACACAGTTCTATCACTAAACCAGTATGATCTGTTTACGCTGCTGCTCTCAATTTGTACACCGCAGTGAGTATGTTCTTCTCAGAATTTCTAACCAAATCTGCACATCACTGTTTAGAGCAGGGAACCCGTTGACCCTAAACAGCGTAGATTTCAGGGCAATACTCAGTATCGTGTAATTAACCAGTCCTTTCCTGTCTGATGTGTGTGTTCTTTATGTGTTCTTGACTCATTTGGTGCTGTTCGGGTTGTGTAGTGCCTGTGGTTACATGCATGCTATGGGGGACTTGTTTACTAATATCATCTTTATCTGAAGTATAAGGCACACATTTGTGCCTGTTTCATAATTAGGGTTCTTATGTGTGCATATCTATGTTTGTGTGTTTGTGCAGCTGGTTGGTGTATGAACCGCTGGAGTCTAGAAGAGCTGTTAAAGAGAGACCCAGAGAACTTTCTCATTCTACTGCAGCAAATTCTCAGAAAAGCCAGAGAGGTGAGTACGCATGTAAACACACAGCTAACTGAACAGAATACTACACCCGCGTAGAGGTGATAGTTTCTGTCACGTTTGTGTACTGTCTATCTATGCCCTCTGTGTTGAGATCTCTATGCCCCCTTGTGGGCTCTGCAGGATGTGACAGATAAGATCTAATCTATGCAAAGAAATTGGTGTTGTTTATAATTAAATTAAAGGTACACTATGTAACTTTTTTTCTTTTCTTTTTTTTTTTAAATGAACAACAATTAAATAAGGAATCAGTACATTATCAGTCCTTATTCCAAAATATATTTTTGTCTTACCCTGATTCACTGTGGTAAGCCTATTATAAGTGTTTATTTTTTAGACCCGACGGGACAGTTTTCACAGGAAATTGCGTACATACAGTACGTCACGCACCTGCGCGTGTCTCGTCATATCTGTAAATAGAGAAAAGATGCTCCGGCTACTTCGACGTGTATACGGTGTGGGAGTGTCATAGGTTAGTTGTCACAATGAGCGAGAAGGTTGACATGGAGCACGCTAAATCTCGAACCTCCAGGTTTTCGGAATCACCCGAAAAACGCAGACAAGAGGAAAGTCTGCTTGCAAAAAGAGAATACGTCAGAGCTCGCAATAAAACGACAATCAACAATGGCTTAGCTTTTTGAAGATGGCGAGAACTGAGGGATATTAAAGGGATTGTTCACCCAAAAATGAAAATTAGCCAATGATTTACTCACCCTCAAGTCATCCTAGGTGTATATGACATTCTTCTTTAAGACGAATACAATCGGAGTTATAATTAAAAAATGTCCTGGCTCCTCAAAGCTGTATAATGGCAGTGAATGGCCGTTTCTGTTGCATCTATCCGTCATAAAAGTGCTCCACACGGCTTTTGGGGTTAATAAAGGCCTTCTGAAGCGAAGTGAAAAGTTTGTGTAAGTAAAATATATATATTTAAAACTTTATAAACGTACTGCTGATATTTACACCACGCCACGACGCACTACGCTACTTCCGACGTCATAAGTTGCGTAAGTTGAGCTTTAGGTGTAAGTAGACTCAGAATGTACGTTTGGCCGAAAGCTAGAATTTTACTTTGTAACGTGTTAAATATGAATATTTTTCTTACACAAACTCATCGTTTCACTTCAGAAGGCCTTTATTAAAGCCCCGGAGACATGTGGAGCACTTTTATGATGTATAGATGCACTTTTATGGATATAACTCTGATTGTATTCATCTGAAAGAAGAATGTCATATACACCTAGGATGACTTGAGGGTGAGTAAATCATGGGCTAATTTTCATTTTTGTGTGAACTATCCCTTTAAATGTTGTAAAAGCGAGGATAATGTGTTTTTATTACTCAACAGGTGAGTAAGATATTTTATTGAACAGATAAATCGCCAAGTGCAGAGTTCATTGTAAAGCATTATATATTGTGAAGGGTCATATTTACCCGTACAGTCATGCAGAGCTGAAGCACGACCAAAACAATGTTCTTCCGCAAAATGCATGCAGTTTTGGGTTTTAAACAAAGAGTGTACCTTTTAAGTTTAGCAAAATGAATTTATTTTAGATGTGATCAAGAATACAGAGTAAGTTTGTCTGTAGGTGGTATGTAAAGGTGGTGATGCTGTATATCTTTCTCTGCTGTTTTAGATTCAACAGGACTGTCATTACGAGCTTGTGGCCCCCTTGGCTCTCATGTTTGAGTCCACACTCCTGCAGGTAAAGTCTCCTGCACACTGAGTTGATCATTCTTGAACAAATTTACCAAAGCCTTGTAATCAGAAACTACTTTTATAAATTGACTACTGTTAATTCACACAAATAATGCATACACATACAACTCAGTGACACAACACTCATCTTTTGTCTGCATAATATATAAAAAAATATATACATATAAAAGCAATTCATACATACAGTGACTTAAAAAACACATCTCCTATGATGTGGATGTTCTTTAAAAAAAATTGGGGGGGGATGGGTGATACAACTATCCTAATAGTCTAATAATAGAAAAAAACTTTAAACTTATTGTATTCTCATCTTGGTTGTTTCAAACCTGTATGAATTTATTTCACACAAAATATGATATTTTGAAGAATATCAGTAACCAGACAGTTGATGTACTTACATAGTAGGAAATAAAATACTATGGAAGTCAATGGGGCCCATCAACTGTTTGGTTACCAACATTCTTCCAAATATCTTCTTTTGTGTTCAGCAGTAGAAAGAAATTCATACAGGTTTGAAACAACTTGAGGGTGAGTAACTTATGACAGAATTGTCATTTTTAAGTGAGCTATTTCTTTAAGTAATTTGGCATAATCTTTTATTATTATATTTTATGCTTCACTGCTTATTAATACTATAATTTTTCAAAGTCAATTAAGAATTATCTAATTAAAAATAAATTGTGATATTAAATTGTGTGAATCTTATTTTTTTGTTATTTATGAAAACCAAGTTTAAGGAGTTTAAAAATATATATGAAATAAACCTTAATGACGAAATATTTACTATTCAGTTTTGCAGCATCACTAATCAAACAATATGAAATTTATGTACACTACCGTTCAAAAGTTTGGGGTCGGTGCGATTTTAAATACTTTTAAAAGAATTCTCTTCTGCTAACCATGGCTGCGCTTATTTGATTAAAAATACAACAAAAATCAGTTATAGTAATAAATATTATTCCAGTGTAAATCAGCTGTTTTCTGTGTGAATATATAGTAAAGTGTAATTTATTCCTGTGATCAAAGCTGAATTTTCAGCATCACCAGTGTCAGTGTCTTCAGTGTCAAATGATCCTTCACAAATCAGTATAATATGAGGATTTGATGCTCAAGAAACATTTATTATTATTATCAATGTTGAAACAGTTGTTGGTCTGTCAGTTGTACAGTTTTTTTTTTTTTTTTTTTTTTGGATTCTTTGATGAATAGGAAGTTCAAAAGAACAGCATTTGTTTGAAATAGAATCTTTTGTAACATTATAAATGTCTTTACTGTCCTTGATAAATAAAAGTATTGATTTCTTTCCTCCAAAAAATAAAAATAAAATTCTCACTGACCCCAAACTTTTGAACGGTAGTGTACATTTTTCAGCTTTTCATTCAAAGTTTTCTGCTAATAATGTGATTTGTAGTAATTCAGTATTAAATCAGAAAAATGAAAAGAAGCAGCATTTTCAATCAGACTTTTGGACTCCACTTTGTAACAAAAATTGCTCTCAGATTGGGCTTTATCTTATTTACCCAGAAGCTGATTTTAGTGAAATCACATATGTCTTTTTTCTCTTTGCAGGTGCCTTTTTGTCCATCTAATGGAGAGATTCTGACAGAAGCTTGTGAAGTGTTTCATGGCTTCCTAGCGTGGCCTGAACCCTACTGCAGTGTGTGTCGTAGCCTGCTCTCCACCTTACATCAAGAGCTTAGAGTTCCAGGTAGCACATTGACATGAATACACACAAGATAACCGACTGCCTTAGTAAGGACCAGCTAGTTAACCTTGTCCCAATCTGCTAATTCATAATTTTAATCAAGAAAAGTGAAGTAACATACTGCCCCTCAGTGGTTTCAAGAAGCATTGCAATTATTTTCAAAATAAGTACTACACTTGTTTTTCTGTTTTAAGAGCACTAGTAGTACCTTAAAGATGACTTAACGCACACTCTAACGTCGGTGCATTCACTAAGAAGTTGATTTGTTACATAATGTTAAAATCTGATGAAATAATGTGTACTTGTGTGTGTTTGCTTGAATCAGGAATTTCGTACCACAGACTGGTAAGAGAGGAACAAGGCCTTGCCGTCTCCAGTCAGCGTTCTAAGATCATGTGAGTGTGTTTCCACAGAAGCAGGAGGAAATCCTGTTGTGTCAGTTATTGCTCAGCCCTTTGTGGTTGCACACTTCACCTCTCGCTTCCGGTGTCAGTTCTTGGATATCCAGAATTTAATTGTCATATTATACGTCTGTTTTAGCATGACGTTAGGACATTGGCCAAAATATCGCAAAGAATTGCCCTGCTAACAGTAAGATTCGTTATGAGTATCTTAACAAATCCTTTTCTGTGTGAAATTGAATCTTTGTGTTCACTGAAAAAAATGTGCACCATGTTTTTTGGACAGGGCAGCATGGTAATACCATGATTTTTTTTTTAAGTACCCTGTAAATACCATGGTATATAAATATGGTAATTATTCAGTACCATGGTATAATTCAATGGTTCTCAACTGGTAGGTCATGTGTCGTATGTCTGTTTCGAAAACAATACTTAATGCAAGTAATGAAATTTTAAATAAGATAAGATGAGAATCTTACATAAAGTGAATTTTTACCTTTTGCAAGCAAAAGTATTATAACATGTCACTTTGTAAAAAAAACAGTACGGCCTGTAGACTTAACACTTAATACACACGTACGTGATGTCACCGTTTTCACAAATTCGAGTTTTTGTATTTTACACGGAGACTATACTTTTTTCCAAAACTTGCACTTTTAACCCCGTTTTCAAACATTTTCAGGCCCCCAAAACGCCATTGTCATGTAAATGGATGGCCAAAATGCATAAAACGTTTTCAGTTTTTAGCTGAAAACGGTGTCGTGTAAACGGCCCCATAAAAAAAAAACACATTCACCCCAAACTTTTGTACGGTAGTGTAGCTAGGGCAAGTGTCTAGCCACAATGTGTTTATATCATACAAAATGGCTTTAATTTAAACATGTTTTTTGTTACACTCAAATCAAATCAAATACACTAGAAAATAACGATTGTAAAGCTTATCTGTGGACACGACTGCTGTGTTTGCTCAGTGTTTCTGCTTCACTACAGTGATGGGTTTTTTTTCTGTTGCAGTACGGTGTTGTTGATGAACCCGGCTGAGGTGCCTGCTGAGTTCCTGTCTGTGGCGGAGCAGCTCAGTGGAGCGGAGGTCTCACAGAGAGAGAGTAGCGTTACACTCATTAAACACAGCTTCCAGGCAGTGCTGGGAACTAAATACCCACTACAGTCCATCAGCGGTGCTCTGCAGGTACACCTCACATGACAAGATGTTTGCTGTTTTAATGCACTCCAAAAGACTTGAGTTGATACAGAGTGAATGTGTGCATCAGATTATGAGTGAGAGTGTGTACAAAGTGTGGGCGTATCACTCTGTGGGAGTCAGGACATGTGTGATCTACTGGGGCTGGGGGTTGATATGGATGTGTGACCAAATGACTCATATGTGGGTTGGTAGGTGGCTAATGGAGAATAAATAGACGGGTTGAGTGGGAGTAATGGAGGGGAAAAGCTTGTTATAATAGTTTTACTTGCAAAAGGTGAAATTCACTTCATGTGAGATTACTTGGATGTTAGAAATCAGGGGTGACTTCATTTGAAACACGTCTAAACATTTATCAAATTCTGACTTTGAATGACTTGCAACAACATAAGAGGATATATGACTAAGTTGATTCCTTTTCAGTGCCTTGGTGACGATGAGTTGGCACAGGTCCTGTCCTCAGTGAGTGACCTTCTAGAGTCTGCAGCGGCCATGACAGATATAGCTAAAGCTCGAGAACATGTGGAGAGTGGCCTGGAGACGCTGCGAGAAAAACTTGACATACCAGCCTTCAATGGCACGATGTCAGATGGTACAATCTTACTTCCTACTTCTAGCCCACCTCACAAACCATAAAGAGACAGTGAAATGTGCTTTGAATTGCTACCAGACTTGAGTCCAATATAATATTAATTAAGCGTGAGGATTATGAAATTTTAATATTTTTTAAATTACATTTTTCTTTCTAAATCAGTGGTTCTCAAACAGGTGACAGGGCGCACTAGGGGGCCTTAGCAAACTTCCATGGGGCCAACAAGTTTTAAAATTATTTAAAGGAGCTGTATGTAAGATTGTGGCCAAAACTGGTACTGCAATCACTTTCAAATTACTGTAGAGTGGTGTATCCCCTCCCCCTCCCCCCTGACTCAAGGTTGCCAGATAGGCTGCAGGATCCAGCAGGAACGTGACGAGCTGCAGCTGTGGTAACTAGAACAGAGCTGGCAACCCGGTTGCCGCAACACTACTGACTTCGTGATTGGTAGATAGGTGGAGGGTGGAGCATCAGACCAAAACACAACATGACAACATCAACATCAGTTGAGGGCTGCAACTGCACTTTTGAAATGACAATATCCTGGCCGGACTACTGTTGTCAGTGATATAAGTATTTGAAATGTACATGATTTCTTAATGTCTAGTGACATATCAGGGCCATTTTATGATTAATTGAAATACATTTCTTACATACAGCTCCTTTAAATTTAGTATTATTAACATAATCTTAATTTAAATGCTTTCATTAATATGAATGAAGAAAAATATACTGTATAATACACACATAGATTATGCTGCATCATAGACTATCTGGCCAAAGTATGTGGACACCCTCTATTTAAAGCATGTGGCTATTTCAGCCAACATCTCAACAAACATTTTAGTAGAATAGCCCCTTTTTTGTTGCAGAATGACATTCCGCCTGTTCATAGAGCGAGGTTCATATTGAAACGATTTACGGAGTATGATGGGGAAGAACATGACTGGCTTGCGCAAAGACCAATCCCACTGACCACCTGTGAGATGAATTGGAACCTCAGCTGCTAACCACGCATAATCACCTTATATTCTGTTGACTGAATAGGATCAAATCCTTGTAGCCATGTTTCCCAGAAGAATGGAAACTGTTATAGCAAACTCCCTATTAAAGCCAATGGTTTTGAAATATTTGGGCATCCACGTACTTTTAGCCATTTGAATTTGTGGTCTACATCCTATAGGGTTTCATGGTTGTTGCTTGGTGACATACTACTCTATTTGTCTGGGCAGCAGTAGTACATATTACCTGGCACCAACTCTTAGAAACTTAACCAAGATGGATGGCCAACATGAAGCAATAAAGCTGATGGCATGATTTTTCGGCTTGGGAAACAGTGGTGTGTTGGGTTTGGAGTGGGCTGGTGATTAATGAGAAAGACTTTGTTGTGTTTGTGTCACTAGGGGTTCTTCAGACGCTCAGCCTTCCAGCAGCCAAGTGCTACACCTTCCATTGGGACAAGGATAATTTTGGTAGGACACAGAATTCAAGCCAGTCCCATTTTTTTTTCTGCTTATTCAAACATTTGTTTGGCTGTTTTGGAATTATGAACATTATAAGATTGATTTCCAGTCGCTTTGGTTTAGTTTAAAATATCATTAAGGGGGTTTATGAATTGGAAATGAATCCTCCAGCTAATAATGACCCTCTGAATCATGATTTTCCATCTTGTTTTTTGCTAGATGTCCTAAACGACCTTCTAGACATAGAGTCTGAATTGACCTTATCTCAAACATCTGAGGGCATGGAGGAGGATGATGTAGACAATGTTGACGTGGAAGATGATGAATATGATGTCTTGGAGGAAGGGTTTGTATCAAACGGTTGCGTTGACTATCGTGCCTCAACATTCTCCACTGTCTCCTCCCTTTCCACTGCCTCCAAAGACTCCATGTTCTCCACGGTGTCGGTCGCTTCCTCCGAATACTCTCCCCTCTCCACGCTTTCATACTCATCTCAAGCTTCGGGTACAGACAGTGACTTCTGTGAGGACGCAGAGGAGGACAGTCTGAGCACAGCAAATGTGTCCAAGACCAAAACCACCGCACGACTTTCCAAGTGCCTCTCGCGACTCTTCAAACCTCGCAGCAGCAACTCTCTCTGTCGAGCCAAGAGCCTGGGCACCCCTGAGGCTAAAGAATTAGTGATCGTCCGCTCTAAGAGATCCAATTCTCTGCCACAGCAGGTGCGGCTACGGAACTCTGATTTCGGGTTACCAGTGCCCCCCCTCTCGCAGCTGCAATATGTTTGCTACAGGAGAAGACCCATTCTGAGTAGCGATGATGAGGAAGGGCCAACAGGGGCCACTACGCTCAGAGTGGTGGTGTTTGGGGCAGATCATGTGGCAGGGAGGGTTGCCCGTGCCTATGGCAGTCTAAGGAAAAGAGAAAGAGACTGTCCGCACCTCACCAAAGCTTTCAGGATGAAGTTTTTCTTTGTGCCTGTACGGAGGGATACAACTCCAGCCAACTCTTCTTTGAGGAACTCGGGTTCTTCTCTGCAGCTCTCAGCAAGTCCACTGAAATCAGCCATCTCTAGCATTGTGAGTGAAATTACAACACTGATGCTTTGTTTTTTTCATGTACACTTAGGTATGCGTATAGTGACGTGTAGGGCTGGGTATCGAGTTTGAGACGTTCGATACCATTGAGTTTAAAAAAAAAATTCTTTACCTAAGGGGTCAATCTCTTTAACATCAGTGAGCCAATAAGCATGCATCATGATTGGCTGTGGCGAGGCATCAAGGAATAACACTAGTTTGCTCCGGTTACGCCCAGAGACTACTTGCCTCACAGACATGAGAAATGTGGATGAGGCATATAGAAAGCTTGAAATGTCTACTTTTAAACGATCCAATTCAAATCAAAAACAAATACTCTCTGATTACGTAATCCAAATGAAAGGTGCATTTCTTCCTATAGGCACGCGTGCATACACTATACTGCAGAGATGTGGAGTCAGCAACGTCAACTTCATCTTTGCAGCCACACTGACTCAGAAAACACTAGTTTATTAATAAACAATTAAAATGTCCCCCCCCAATCATTGGGCTACTTTTACCAGTGCTTTGCGGCAAGCTTTATGCATGCGCTTGAGCACAAGGCATACATTCCAGCATAAATTAGTCTTTGAGTCTGTAAAAAAATAAAACCAAAGTTTTTTTTAGGTAATATGTAATGTCATTTTGTTAAAACAGATTTCATAAAATTGGTATTGAAAAAAGTTTCGTTCAGTAACCGGTATCGAAGTCAAGGTACCGGTATCGAAAACTTTTTAACGATACCCAGCCCTAGTGAAGTGTGTAAAATAATTGTGTCATCAGCATAATATACATTTTGCATTCATTAGCTGGTCCACACAGTTGCAACACTGGCCCAGCGTGGTGTTTCAAGTCCAAAAGCAATTAAAGAGACAGAACTTTAGCAAACGACTGGAGACGCCACAACAATAAACTCCCACATTGATGAGCAATTGCAATTCTAGTTAAAAAAATAAAAATAAAAAATGTCATCATTCAAAAAATCTGGAGAGAAATAGTGCAGACATTGGGCAAAGATAAAACTAATACGCTTGTGTCTACCACCTGTGTTCGCGCACATTATCAAATGGTGTGAAAGGCTATGCTTTCAGCTATGTTCAGAAGTTTTTGCTTCAAAACTGAAGTATACTTTGGGCTTTAGGTTTTATTCATCAGGCTTAAGAAGTGACTGACTGCAAAAATCTCATCAATTTGGACAGGCGCATACACACTTCAGCCAAATTTTCACTTCTCTTCTCAAGTGCTAATTCCTATTCGGTATACAGAATTTTACTGGCATGACAACACATTCAATCACCAAATTCACTTATGAAAAATTAGGTAGTGACATCTGAATTTGCTTAAAATCTGCAAAGTGTGTACAGAACCAGTTTTTTAAATGAAAAGTACATCAGAGACGTGTGCCTCTCTTCTCCAATTCAGTTGTGCTTTGACTCTTTTTGTCCCAGCTGCGTTGCTCACCTCTGTAACTCTCACCAGCCCTGCAGTAAATGCAACTACTGAATTTCCTATGATGAAAAGTTGCAAACACCAAACTGCTTATAGTGTTGCCATTTGTGTTTCTTGCTTGCCATGGCTGTAATTATCACTGCGTCAATCATTACAGTTTCACATGTGGTTCCTGTATTCCAGACACACTTGAATCACCAATTTAGGAGATCTACTCCCACATTTAAGTGTGGTTATCTCTCTCAGATCTTTTAGTGTGTATGGGCCACATTGCTTATTTGGATAGCAAACCACATCTCTGATGGTGTTAATCTGGTCTAGATGGTATTCCATCCTGGCTAAAATATTCTGGTTTCTCTTGATGGTTTTAGTGGGGATTTTTCCTCCCAGTAGGTCATGCTGGGACCATTTAAAGACAAACTTAGCCAGGTTTGAAGACAGCTAGACTTAAACTAACTCAAGGTTTCATCAGGCATATGGATGTAGATGTTTGCTCATAGTCTAAGCTAAGCTAATAAAGTCCAACACTACTTGTACACACTTTGAAGTTAAAACAAATGATTTTGTTTTCATTCAATTGTTAGTCCAGACATCCACATGTAAGATTTTGATACAGAAACATTGGTATTAATTTATCAACAGGATCTCAGTGTGAATGGGACGGAGGACAGCACCAATGACATAGCTAATCTGCTGGGAATGCTGGATCCCTGGTATGAGCGTAACACTCTGAGCCTGCTGGACCTGCCCGTTAATGTGTTGTGCCAGGTGATACTCTGACGTCTACACACTCATTCACATGAACAGAGAATGCATTCATATTCAAATAATCAGCAAGAAGAACAAACATCAGTAAACCTTTCATTATATGGCAAGCAGTTTTCGGCAGGGTCACACACGCACACAAAAAAAACCCACATCCCATAAAGCCATTCATATGAGGAACTTGCGTGTGTGAAAGTGTGTTTTGTATTGTTTTGATTATCACCATGCCCCCCCCCCCATCAAATGACTGATGAACAATGTATTTACATCAAATGTTCTTGCCTTAACAGCAAACATCAAAGATTGACTCAGATTTGTCCGAGGGCGCTGCTGAGGGGCGTTTACCGATATTTGCTGACCTGGTGCTCCATTACTGCCGCCATGCCGCCCGCCCTGCCCTCATTCAACTCTATCAAGCAGAGGTGAATAAAAACATTCCATTTCCTCATTCTGTGGCAGTTCCAGTCAAAAACTTTAAAATTGTACCATAAAAAGTTAATAAATAGATATACTTTTAAGTTATAAATCTTTATAAAGTTTTTTGTTTTTAATAAACTACATTCATTCAAATTTGTTAGTTTCACTGCAAAAATTGCACTGCAAGACATGCTCTATGACATCTACATACATTTTTAGGTGTTTCTTGGTGTTAACTATTGACTACAGTATTTCATTAATCTTTTCTGGCCTATTTTGTAACTTGTCTTGCATCTTTTATGACCATAATGCAATCCAATAGTTTCACAAAAGTTGTATTCCTATTCTTGACTATAGTTGACACTAGCTGGAGGAGAGAGACGGACTGAAGTGTTTATTCATTCTCTGGAGCTGGGCCACACAGCTGGTACAAGAGCCATCAAGGCCATGGGTGAGTGTAAACAAACATCAAGATATAATTTCAGATCTTTGTTTCTATCCATGGCCAATTTCACATCATTTGATGTTTGCCTAGTATACTTTTCTTTCAGAAACTTATTTTTTTCCATGGGTATATTAAAGCAATCACTAGGACAATGTTCCTTTCTAAGCATATATACACAAATGAGCCAAAACATTATGACCACCTGCCTAATATGCTATCGGTAGACTCTAAAAGACCCCCTGAAGGTGTCCTGTGGTATCTGGCACCAAGATGTTACCAGGAGATACTTCAAGTCCTATAGGTTGCGAGGAGGAGCCGCCGTGGATTGAACTTGTTGGCCAGCACATCCCTCAGATGCTCAATTGGATTGAGATTTGGGGAATTTGGAGGCCATTGCAACACTTTGAACACCCTTTTAAAGGGGTGTACCTGGTCTGCAACAATGTTTCAATAGGTGACGTGTCAAGCGGCTCAAACGTCCATGTGATGTAAAAGAAAACGGACCAGACCACCTTCTTCAACTGCTCCACGGTCCAGTTCTGCAGCCCTATACACAGAGTGTGATGCACTGTGTGTTGTGACAGATTCCTCCCAGTGCCATCATCAAAATTTTGTGCGACTGGTGCTACAGTAGACCTTCTGTTGGCTCAGACCAGACGGGATAGCCTGCGTTGCCCTCATGCATCGGTGAGCCTTGGGGGTTGTCTGTTTATGGTTTGTCAATCCTCGGACCACTGTTGGTAAATTCTCTCCACTGTTGACCGGGAGCGACCACAAGCCTTGCCGTTTCAGAGATATTCTGATCCAGTCAACTTTCCCCCCTTGTCAAAGTCGCTCAGATCTTTATTCCTGCAATTTCCTCCTGCATTCAACAGATTGATTACGAGAACTGATTTGTTTGCTTACCATCTCTAATCTACCCAGTCCTTATTATGTGACCTTGCAAATAATATCATTGGTCATCTCCTAGCATCACCTGTGACTGGTCATAATGTTTTTGGCATGTACGTGCTCACTGTTTACACTGTTTACTTCTGTTTCTTTGCTATCTTGCAACCCTGTACAATCACCCTTCCATAACTCTGCCAGCATTTGGAGGTCAAAACGGCACATGATGACAGTGTATTGAATCTCTGACACGAGTCATGCGAAAGGGCTTTTAGTGTGTGTATTGCTCTTTACGTTGTCATTGTGCAGCATGCTGTTGTCTCCATAATTAACTGAAATTTTATTTTTGGGTAGTAGCAGAACTTCACTTCTCAGAAGATATTTTTGAGCAATGGAAGCAGTTTTAAATTCAGACTAATCAAAAATATTTATACATCATAAAAAAAGGAAGAACTTTTCGTATCCTGTTATAATAGCTGTATTGTGTTTTGCTGTAGTTAAGGTGACTAACTTGACTTCCTTTCTAAAGAATCAAATCTTTTTATTATTTTGCAGGTGCTGCCAGTAAGAGATTTGGCATTGATGGAGACCGTGAGGCTGTTCCTTTGTCCCTGGAAGTGACTTACAACAGAGTAAGACGAACCATTCCAGTGTTTTGATTAGATTTAAATGACGATCCATTTTCATTTTAATCCAAGTAATCCCATTTTCATTTATCCTCTCTCTTTTTTGCCTTTACTTTCAGATACATGTCAGTGGCAGAAGTCAGAAGACGATGTCAGAAAAGTCCTGCACCTCCATAAACCTGTTAAAAGCCTGCAGGAATCCTGAGGAACTAGGTAGAAAATAACATTGACCTCAGTAGACAGAACTTTTTAAAACATATTTTAATTAGGAATGGTAATTGTTTCAGTTTAAATTTAATGAAATGATGAATGAAATGAATTGATATGCTTATGAACTGTAAAATCAGTTTATACACTGTATATACACAGTAAAAATCCCATTCATTTTCACCATAGGGGAATTCACTTTTAATGATAACTTTAAAGACAGACCTACTGTGAGCTACACGGTTTTTAATCAATTGTATATGCTTTTGTTGAAGCCATCAATTATTTTAACTTATTTATTAAATAATCGTGTTTAACTGTGGACTGGAGTATACACATAGTGTACACGTTTCCAATAGTTATGAATATGAATAATTGCTTGTTCTGCACTCAAATGCTGCAAAAATGATTTTTTTTGTGCAATTTTGATTGTTAGTGCATGTAAATCCAAATCAACCAAATCACAAGTGCTTCATTTATTTCTTTTTCTTTAGATTCTAAAATGGAGTGCCTTCATTTGACAATGACAGAAGTGTTGAAGAGACAAAACTCTAAATCAAAGAAAGGCTACAATCAGGTGAGCAGGAAGGAAGTATGGGAGAAAACTAAGCTGCGGTTTAAACAGCCCCAAACAAACTTAGTGCAAACACCTACAGTTACTCTCTCATGTGGTTTCTGCAGCAATGTGTAGCAGCCGACAAACAACATTTTTTTTACCAAGAGCAAACATTTTGGGTTTTATTTACCTGTTTCTATACCGGTTGACACGACATGGCTGTTGTTTTTACATCTTTGTGTTTTTGGTGTCAGTTGTACTTTCATTTTTACAGTGCCAGTGGTTACTCTTTGGTTCAGTTACACCACACACTGACTGTACTCCATCTTGTTTTGTTATCGATTGAATAAAAAATATGCAGTTTGTTACAAATGTTTGAAATAAATAAATGAATACTGAGTATGAAAATACACATATCTCCTTTTGCAAGTCTAATGTAAACACCATTCACAAAGCTCTTTTATTCTTGCATAGATTAAGTTAAAATGTTTATGAATGTTAAAGTTATTTGGGAGATTCAAGTTACAGTATTTTAATGTTTTATTCAGATAATGTTGTTTGTATTCCAGCAACTGACCACAACACAAGTAAAAGTGGACAAGGTTCAGGTTAGCGGAACTTGCAACACCACCTTTGCAGTTTGTCTGGACCAAGATGAGAAGAAAATTTTGCAGAGTGTGACCAGGTACAGTTTGTTTTTGTTGGCTTTTTATGCTAAAGTTTGGCTAAAAAGAAAATATATTTATATTCTTCCCAGCAGTGGTAGATAGACACGTGTTTACACCAGTTCCCTGTGTATCAAACCCATGAGTTTGGCATTGGTTTCAGATCACCATTGATCTGTAAAAAGTACGTTTATACTTTTACATATTTATACTTTTACTGGAGTAATCTACTTTAATTACTGCGTCCAGTATGTATGTATATTAGTGCTGTCAAATTAATGCGTTTAACTCATGCGATTTAATTTCAGTTTAACATGTTAAAAATATTTAAAACAAATTCCTGTCATCCTTTGGCTTACAATATCATCACGCTCTTATTCATGCAAATGCTTTTAAACCATTCAAGCACAATAAGACACAAAAGAGAACGCAGTGCTGTACTGATCCTGCGAATCTCCTGTCTGTGTAACACACACGACTCGTGCGCACAGATAGCCGCTTCAGACATCGCTTGAATGGACAAAAACATTTAAAATAATGCAAAAATGCCAGTTTTGTCGAGTATCCTCGCAACCACAGTTAAATGAGTTAAATGAAGTCTTAAATGAACGTAAAAAGTTGTGGGAAAATGTGTGTCAGCTCTGCGTCATGTGCTACAGGTCTTAAAGTGACGGCAGCCTAATTAACCTGCTGCTGTTTGTCATTAAGGATAATCAAAGAACAAAATAAAAAGACTGAATAACATTTGTATCTTTAATCTATATTTAATTCTATAATTATTATATTTAATTTATAATTTATGCAGTGAAGACTGTGAAGTGTTTAATATCTTTATTCAATTTCTGCATATATCCTACGTTGTCAATGACCTACCTGAAAATCTTAAAGCACTGCTTACAAGGTTACATGGGTCAAAAACATTTTGCATTTTGACAGGGCAAGCAAAAATCTGAACTTGTCTAACAAGGCCAATAGAAAAAATGTTGCCCTGATATATATTGAAGGGTACAGGTAAATATGACATTTATTATAATGGGCTTATGTAAAGATTGTTTTAAGGTCACGTAAATTAAAAGTTGTTATATTTTTTTAAAGCCTAATAAATGTTAAAATTGGTAGCTTTCAATTATACTGTAATGTTGAATGGCTATAATTAATGACTAAAATTAAGAAAAAATCGATTTCATAGAGACATCAGTTGCAATATTGGTATAAATATTTATAATAAAGACTTTCTACAAGTTAATGACTTCTACATTAATTTGGAGATCAAATTTAAAATGATTACAATATAAAAATACATATAATAATAAACTTTAATGTTTGGTGCGATTAATCGCAATTAATTACAGAAAAATGTGCATTAAAAATGTCTTTAACCGTTTTAACAAATCGAATGAATGAATGAGAGTAATGCGATTAATTACTCGGCACATCATGTAATTAATTAGATTAAATATAATTTAAAAAATCAGCAAGGATGCATTAAAGGGATTAAAAATGGCAGTTAAACCTGTACATTGTTAAACAAAATCTATTTAAAATGTAAAAATAATCAAATTAAAGAATACTGCTAAACAATGTATCATGGTTTAAACAAAAAATATTAAGCAGCACAACCTTTTTCAACATTAAGCACCAAATCAAATCAGCATATTAGAATGATGAATTTCTGAAGGATCATGTGACATTGAAGACTGGAGTAATGGCTGCTGAATATTCAGCTTTGCCATCTTAAATTACATTTAAGAAAAGTTATTTTAAATTGTAATAATATTTTGTTTCAGCATTTTTTGCATTAAGCCAGCAAAACGAAAAACAATTATAAAATAAGGAACAAAATCATTAAAAATGTTCATGTTTTACTTTGAGATGGAAACTAGCTTGTGTCACTGAAAGTGAGTCAGTGGCCATCACTGTTTGTCACAAAGAAAAAACTGTTACCATAGAGACACAAAAAATATCTGTTAAAACTAGTTTTGTGGCCAACCACCGGTAAACTTGTTCAATGTACCAGCCATCGGCAAATACTTTTTGGACCCTGTATATTAGTATTTGAATGTAAACTTCTACAATGCCAAACAACCCAAAATGATTTCTTTCTTTGCAGGTGTGAGGTATCAGTTTGTTATAAGCCAGATAGTTCGACTGATTGGACGAAAGGAAGGGTGTTCACATCTCAGACCCAGTCTCTGCAGCCAACCTTCTGCTCTCTTCTTTGCCTCCCTATTGCCACTTTCAGTGGACCTCAGCCTTAAACCCAGAGATCAGGCTTTAACTCAGACCTCCAGCCTATAAGAAGCCTTAAGTCTGGTTAAAACATTCATACCAGTTTTTCACTTTCAGTTTCAAACTACAACTTTGCATATCGACTCTCAGGACAAAAGCTAAGATACACTTTTGGGTCAAAGTTCCCTTTTATTACATTATATGAGCATCATGTCTATGTACATGTGGGGTTGTTTGCTTCAAACTTCTGAGATTAGGATAATCGGATCAGAAGTTGTTGTTTTTCTAAGGGTACATCCTACTGAATATAATTCGGTGGGCAAACTGAGACAATTTTTGTGGACTTATGACTAACATCTAAATCTGGTTATGAGCCAAAATCTGAATCATCCTTAACTAAGGTTTGGTATGAATGGGATGTTATTACTGGATTTATTTGGAACAAGGCCTGTCCTGGTTCTTATTCAACTGGCATGGATTTCTAACTACTAGAATACTCTTGTTAATGTACATATTAACCAGCATCCAAATAAGCACTCTGGACAACTTAATAATTTGTTTGTATATATGATGTAATTATTTTATGTAGCTATCATTAGAATTCTCAGGAAATATATATATGTTCATTCACAGTCTTTCCTTTTTTAATTGTTTATTTAATCCCATTTCGGTCTGACCAGAGAATTGAGACAGTGGAGCCTCAGATTATAGTCCTTAAAATCTAATGTATTCAGTGATTGTTTTTGTATATATTTGTATATCCTCTCTGTGGTTTTATTTTTGGTGTTATGACTTTAAAACCATTTGAAACCTGTCTGGTTTAAATACCACTTCTTGTAGTTTGGTCGGTTGCCCAATAGAGGTCCTTATAAAGCAGTTGTTGAGTTCTACCCATGTGGACGCTGGAGGCTGAATGCTAGTGAATAAAAAACCAAGACAGTTCAGTCAGTACACTGTGTAATACTGGTGCAGTTTGTAAGTGAAACAAACTGAAATCTTTCTTTCTCTCTTTCTTTCTTTCAAAGCATATGTGTATATTTATAATCTAAAATAATCAGTATAACTGTCAAAACCATAATTTTTTCTCCTGATTATTTTACAAACACTTAACTTGTATATATTTTAGCAAGCTTATCAAGCAACGGTGTTCAATGTACATATGTATGTTTTTATTAAAAAATAAAATTGAGCAAATTGAGGGATTTTACTCACTCTCAGGGCAGACTGTTTTTAAATAATATTTGTTTATTAAAAATTGTAGACCTGTATATTCCATACTACATTTCATTTTGGTGTGATAACATGTTGGAAAGAGTGTTGTGGGTACAGATTAATGACCAGTGCTACTGAAATGTACACTGTTATGCAAAATGTCTTTTTATTATTATTATTTTGTGGTCCTAGCATCCCAGAGAACTAAATCGGTACTTTGCATGTGACATGTATATTCATGAGGTGCATTCATTGTTTTTATATTTGTACACTGTAACGTCAAATTAAAAAAATATATATTAAATAAAGTCCCATTCAAATTAAATTACTACTCACAAGTTTGTGTATATGGTTACATAATGACTATTATATTATTGGCATTTGGCAATTGTCAGGACAGGAGTCTGCCCTAGTCACATTGTAATAAACCAATGTTTTACGCATTACATGGAGGGGATTTTAATGCGACTTTTCATCACATATTACATAGACTTTAAATGCTTGCTTTTGGTTTTTCCACTGTGCCCTGCAGTTTTTAGAGGCATTCTTATGATCAAATGTCAGGTTAATAACAAAAAAATGACACACCTGTCTGCTAAAACAACAGTCTTTCATGTCCCTTGTTTTGCTCAGGCCAGGGTGTTTATGAACTTTTAGCCTGTTCAATGTTATTAGAAATAATAATTAAAAAAATGTCACAAGATAATTCATTACATTTATATAGCGCTTTTCTTGGCTCTCAAAGCGCTTTAAGGGGCAATCTCCTCAACCACCACCAATGTGCAGCATCCACCTGGATGATATTGATATACAGGCATATTGCGCCAGAACGCCCACCACACACCAGCTTATTGGTGGAGAGGAGAAAGAGTTATGAAGCCAATCGGTATATACACTGAACAAAATTATAAACTCAACACTTTTGTTTTTGCCCCCATTTTTCATGAGCTGAACTCAAAGATCTAAGACTTTTTCTATGTAGGCTACACAAAGGGGCTATTTCTTTCAAATATTGTTCACAAATCTGTCTAAAAGGGAGGAATAAGGAATAAGATTTTCCTTAAAGAATGTATGCTTTTTGGTTTTGTTTCAATGTTTTCATGTCTTTTATTTAGAAATGATCATTGTTCCTGTTTGTCATGTGATTCCTTGCCCTAATGTGATCATGTCTTGTGCTTTCTTAAGGGTATGTTTTCACACAACAACGAAATGCTTAAAACTGAGAAGTTTTTCCTTTGAGTTTTCCGCGTATAGACGACACCATTGTCAAAACGATCCCCATTCACACGGTTAGCGAAAACAACTAAAAAACGCTATAGGCCAGGCCATTAGATGGGATCAGAGCCATAGAGAGAAAGAGTTGCGACACGCTTTGATGTCGCCGCGACGGCTGTCACGTGGTTCATGTAAGCCCCAATAGTTCCAAAACATACGCGGGCTGTCATGTTCTTCTATGGACAGACAGCAGCGATTGCAGTGAACGGTAAATATAAAATAAAACACACACCCAGGTACTTTTTAAGCTGTTATTGCATTTTGTTAATGTCAGTTTTGCATTTGGAGAGGCAGGGTGACAACTTAGGCCTTGTCCACACGGACACGGGTATTTTTATAACCAGAGTTTTTCCTACAGCATTTAAAAAAAAAATCCCGTCCACACATGCTCGGTCTCCGTCTACATGAAAACGCAAAAACACGCTATCAAGCGCGGTCAAGAGCATGCCACGCCAGCAGGCGGCGATATAAACCTTAACCGTAAAGCCACGTTGGCCAATCAGAAGCGCAAATCTGACGTCAAACACAGCGGATAACGGCGCACACTCTGACGTTGCAAGGCAAAAACCCCGGTTTCACTGTCAACACGACAACACTGTAACCGGCGTTTCTGAAAATCCTCACCCTGGCAGGGGTTTTAAAAAATGTTCGGTTTCAGTGCGTTTTCGTGTGGACGAACGGCCGAACCGCGTAAAAAAAGTCACGGTTATAAAAATACCCGTGTCCGTGTGGACAGGGCCTTAGATAAGTTTTAGGTACCCGTGTCCGCTGTGTCCATTTCTTTTACTGTCAATGCTTCAACGGAGAAAAGTGAAGTCAAATAGAAGAACTCACTTCCTGATTGCCAAGCGCACTGCGCATGCTCAAACTGAGCTTGAAGACGTAGTTGTGACGTGAGCAACCTGACTGACAGTTGTACGTCTTCTAGTAGCTGTGCCAAAGGAATCTGAATCATTCCCTTCTGAATCTTGCAGAGCCGGAGATCGTGAGTATTAGCTGTTCATGAGCTCGCAGCAGGAGCAACTTTATGACTCTTTATGGGCTTCTCCCTTGACTTTATGCCTCCACGTCCCCCGATTGCGTGTGAGCTTCTACATCTGTCTTTATGGTCATTTCTCTTCTATGCGCCAGAGAGTCGCGTGTTATGACGCAATCGTTAGCCTATTTTTACAAAAACTGCTTCTACGGGGCCACAACGTAAGATACAAGGTAATGGAGCATTTTATACATTGTCGTGTTTGTTTAGAAATAAATAATGGACAAATGGAGTCTTTAAACGTCTCAGATGTAAAGTTATTCGCTGTCAAAGTGACGCAAAATGAATGGGAGTCAATGGAATGCTAACAGCAGGTGAAGGCTTGTTAGCCAATGGCGGCGCCCGGGGAGACTTCAGTTTCCGGCTGGTGGATTACCCCCTGGGTTTCTATGAAGACCCTTATTCTGATAAGTGCAATGTGCTCTCATCGGTCAAATGTCACGCCTCTTACTATAACTGTGTTAGATCTAGGGTGGAAAAAACAATGGGCCGTATTCCCCGTATTCTCAAAACAGCAAACACAAATCCATAACGTCTCACCCAATTCCCCAAACATCCTATTTTCAGGTCAAAATGAAGCTCTACACTCAAAACCATTCACTCTTGCTGAAAAAACAAACTTTGCCCTCAGACAGGACACACAAGCCCTCAAAAATACACACACTGCAACATAGTCTTACACACTGGTGCTATAAATTCAAAACAACATTTCCAAAACTGGTAAGTCATGTTGCTTGTGGTCCCACTCTTACGTAAGATGTGTGTGAGCATCACATGACAGTAAAAGAGCACACACAAACCTTATTCAAATATGGTTCAAAGTATTGGAATGGTAAAGAGTGTTGGTACATGCCTCCACTCAAGGATACAATATGATGAACAAGTCTAAGAATGTTCCACATATGGTTGAAATACCATCATTGACCTAGAAAGATAACATTCTGGGAGTCAAGACTATAAAGGAGAAAGGATGCCCTCCCTTCACTGTCACACTCTGCAGCCACTCTGTGTGACTGTACGACTGCTGGCCTTTTCTTGCAAGAACATAAACCTCATCAAAGACAATTGGAAATGTTTGTCTCTTATTCAGTGATATAAATCTGTTTGCCACCACACCTCCCTGAAGGTTCTGATGATGGAGGCGACGGTGAAGCGACTCAAATTGGTCTGTACTCATTGCCCAGCCTCCCTCATAGTCATACCATGGACAAGGACATGGCCAACTAAAGTGGCTTGAAATTTCATCCGAGACTGCTTGTCTTCTTGCCCTTCCTCCTCCTCTTCCTCTCCCTCCTCCTCCTCCTCTTCCTCCTCCTCCTCATCTTCCTCTCCCTCCTCCTTCTGCTCTTCCTCCTCCTCTTCCTCCTCCTCCTCCTCTACCTCTTCCTGCTCTTCCTCCTCCTCTTCCTCTCCCTCCTCCTCCTGCTCTTCCTCCTCCTCCTCTTACTCTTACTCCTCCTCCTCCTCTTCCTCTCACTCCTCGACATATTGCTTAATTTCTCTGTGGATCCATTGTTCCAAAACTCAGTAAACTGATTTTATCTTTTATTAAAGATTGTATAACCTTTTATCTATCCATTGAAGAATCTGACTGATGTGTGTTCAATTTTGACTCTTAGTGTTTTCACCTGGGTAATAGTGCTGAAGCTGAGCTGACTTGAGTGAACAATATTGAATGCTAGTGCTTTCTAAATGACCACGTGGTGTAGGCAATGAGAAATGAAGGGATTTGTGTGTAGAGTTTTGCTGTGACAGTTCAACAAATCTGACTAATGTGTCAAAACAGGGGAATAGTGTTCATAGTTCAGTGAAATGGGTGTGCTTTTTGATAAATGGCATTATGGTTTTGAAATTTTAGTTCAAAAGCCTGGTTATAGTGTTTAAGCAATCGAGAAAAACTGTAAGAAAGTGAAACAGAAAAAAAGTAATAGAAGTTTGAGTTTATGAAAATGTAAAAATTTAATTATTCATATTTTATATAAAATATATTTTTTCAAAACCTGGTTGGACTCTAAAACTGCAAGAAAATCAAAGCCAAAACTCGGAACAAGTTGTGTTTCAAATTTTAGGTTGATATCTCAAAAAATGAGTA